ACTGTTCTTTGCGGAGTAAAATCATTTCCCCTTCTCTTCTCTCGATCCTCAAAATTTAAACTAAGCACCCTTTTCCAATAAGTGGTCTCAGTTTTTGTTTGATAAATATTTACGTTTTAAATTATAACATTTTATAGCTGCATTATATAAGTTCTAAAAACAGAACTCACTAATCCATGTTAATATTAATTTTTAATTATAAACTTTCGCTTTGTTTACACATGTTTAAATCCACGATGAAATCTGATATATATGCGTAGGCATTATTTGCCTGTAATCGCGCCGGATCGAGTCCCGATCGTGAATTTAAACGTTAATTTTATTACCATTTTTTTTTTTGTTAAATAATTTTATTAATACAATCTGAGGCAGGAGTAACTCGTGTTTTTTTTTATACGGCTCAAATGATGGTAAGCGATTACCATAGCAGATAAACACCTGCATTACCAGGGGCATTACGCGCATTTGAAGAAGGGAGACTGTACAAAAGTCGATTGCTTGTGTACCTCTGTCCCATTCGTGTTTCTACCGTGAAGCAGTTGTGTTTGCATGGCTGTGTTTCGGTTTGAAGGGTAGGATATGGCGCTAATTTGCTGGGTACAGAGGAATAACATCTGAGTCCTCAGGAATGGCAACGCATGGGGAGTATCATGGGCGAAACAGTGTACTCTTTTATGTCCATGGTACTGCTCATGTCTATAGGCGACGGTTACCACTTTCCATCAGGTGGACCGTCAGCTTGTTTGCCATTCTAAATTGTATAAAAAAATGGAACCTTCGTATTCCTTTTTTAAAGAACCACATACTGTAGTCTCTTGGGACAATCTCTACAGGGAGTTCATTGGATAACCGGAGCATTCGTAGCAGGAATCGTCTCTGAAAGCACGCTGTGTGCGACCATCCAAGCTTTGAGGCATGAGAATGAACTCCGTGTTGGTGGTGAACAGTTCCTATTAGTTGGATGTTATGTTAAACTATTGCTCTGACCACAATCCATTATACACGTGGTAGAATACAGTTCATTTTAAGTAAACGGACACGTCGACCACACGAAACCTATAAACACTGTAATTAGAGGGGAGAGGCATAAAAATAGTAAGTATCCGGGGTAGGTACTGGCGAACATCCGCAGGAAATGGCTATATTATGGTGCGAAAATCCGGTTTTGTTATCTACTAGCTTTTTTTCGATGTTTTGCGCGTGTGGGGAAAGGTAAAAAGCAATTGTTTTAATCTATATCTATATAGATAGTATCTATCTATCTGTCTGCCTATCTCTTCAGTCGTACACTCTTGACAGAGTGGTCGTGGTTTTTTATGATGATAGTGGATCGTCGATGAGGCCCTCCTTCGCGACTGAGGTCCTCGCAATGCGTCTCCATCTACTTCTGCTCACAGCCGAGCGAGAGCATTCCACAATACATAGGTTCACTGTACGTTAAAGTTTAAAAAAATGTGGCGTTGTATTCCAACATCGTCATAGTCGTAGAATACTGACGGATCTTTATATGTAATATTTGTCAGATCCGTCAGTATTCTACGACTATGACGATATGTAGGTAAATATTCGCTAATTTTTGTCGAGAGTCTTAAATACTATTTTGCGTAAGATTTTTTTTATTTATTTCATTCCATTCCCCAGCTGTAGTCATAGCAATTATTGTCGGTCGTCTACGTTACACCTGTCGCCATTAAAACTTTTAAGGTCGTATACCAAAAATAGGATCGTATTGATTACGTTTTTAATACAATCGTTGAGTGGTCAACATTAATGACGTCTGTGTATTTAATTTCTTACATAATTGCTGTACTAACAATGCAATACAATTATTCTGATATCAATTTTTCATCGTTAACTCTAGACGATTTGTCGTTACGTACAGCGCCATCTGTTTTGCCTTCTTGACAAAGAGTTTGAACTAAATAAAAATAAAATTTAATTGAGATAAAGTAAAATTTGTATTAGAAAGGTGCTAGACAGTTTTTATCCGACTTTAAAAAAGAGATTCTAAATTAGGTTGAATTTTTTTTTTAATTAATTTATAAACCGATTCGGAAAATTTGTTTTCTTTATTAAAAAAAGGAACTTTCGTCTTTCTTTTAATATTTTAGTTATTAAATCAATTAATTAAAAAAAATGTTTATTAGGAAACCTTAGCTTTATTTAGTTTTTATGTTTTTGGTTAGCTTTACTAACTTTACTACTATGAAGTTGTATATTTTTTTTGTATTTGTAATAATTACCTAAAAATGTCAATTACATTAATAAGTTATTTTTTTTATTTATAAATACATTATTATTTCTTGACATTAGATATGTTCATTTGACGAGAATGATATAATTGTTCTATCATTATTTACATTCTACACTTTAGATGATGATGATGATGATGATCAAAAACACCATCGTCACACCATCAACAACACCGTACCATTATCCTGTAATATATACAAATGTTCACATTACGCGGCTATCGAACCACCAAAAGTCGCTTACCACCTTTTTTTTCATCCTTACATATACAATAAAATATTTAAATGTTGCCAAATAAAGAATAATACTTCATCACAGGCTAATGACTTGTAAAAAATTATTTACTTTCATTAAATTCTGAAACTAATCTTTCAATATAAACACCTACTTATGCACGAATGCACAAGCATGCACGCACGCACTCACTCACTCATACATAACATACACACGCGCGCGAACACATACACACACACACACACACACAGGCGCGCGTGCGCGCGCGCGCACACACACACACACACGTACTCATCTTTTCACATAGTTTTTCTTATTTTTTTTTTTTTGTAAATAATGTGTCCTAAATAGGTAATCGCACTCATAATCCCCAAGATACAGGTCTGGCCTAGTTTGGGGACTGATGGTAATGCAGATATTTCCTCGTTGAATATAAATTGTAAAAATTGTAAATTGTACCTTATGCAACTGTATCTTTCTTAAATAAATATTATTCTTAAAAAAAAAAGAGATCTCATCCCCAAACCGGAACACGACTTGCAAGCAAACTGCCAACACAAATAGATAAAACGGTCGAGTCGTAAATTATTGTTTACATAATAAAGGTACACATAGACACACTCGTGAGTATTGCTACCAATTCTTACATATTACTTCTTTTTGGTTATTTTACAAACTTGTCTTTTAACTTGCTTTAGTATGCCTTTCCGTTCAATCTCTCCAATCTATTGTCATCTAGCTATATTTATTTATTTATTTAAACTTTAATGCACAGTAAAATTCTATGTACATTTGGCGGACTTAACACCGGACGGTGTTCTCTACCAGTCAACCATTGGGCAAACAGAGAAATACGTAGACGGTGCATTTTTAAATAGAGGAAAAATAAAGCAATACTTGATAAATTCATATAATGTAAATATATATATCTTCACATATTGATTCAAATAGACTATATTTATAAGCATTTTTAAATGGATATTTTTTTAAATGTAATGCAAGGTTCGGAAAGTTATCTGCTGAGAAAAGTCTACAAAAAACTCAGCGTCATGTTCGAAGGAACATCGCATGTAGCTAAGTGATTCCATTTTGGTGCTTTTTCTTTTCATTTTTGTTTATTTTGTTTATTGGTGAATATTTTTTTGTAATTATATATAAAATTAAGCACTAAATAAACATTTTTTTCTTTCTTTTAACAGTTACTCTTTTAAATCTCTGTTAACATATACAGTGAGTAAAAAGTATTCTATGTTTTAAGTATGGATATAACCTATCCGTGTCCCAAATTAAATGAAAATCCGTTTATCAATTTTTTGTTTGAAAGAGTAACAACCATGTTTTTAACTTTACATACTTTCACATTTACGCATAACAGTAGCAAGTATATCCATAAATCTTAACCACTTGCTGGCATCTGATTATGTCGAAACTTGGCATAATTATCAAAGTTCTGGCGACAGTGCAATAATACGGTACCATTGAGCTTATAATGAATGCATGAAGACAGAAAGTGAGTATAGGAAATTGTGAAGCACGTATGATAAATCCGTTGTATTTGGGCTCGTTTGGCTTATCTGTAAACCTGTGTGATGCTCAAAGTCTGATAATATAGCCAAGAGGCTATGAAAGTCTGTTTATTGAAAAATAAAATTACACCAAAAATTTTATTACTATTTACCAAACTTAATGGTCGCAGAATCGGCAGTAGCGTTCTTTTTAAAGCATCACCAAAGCTTAACTGCGGTTGCTAATCCGCATGCTCAGTGTGGCAATTACTGGCCAAACTCCTCAATAGGGAGAGGCCTATGTTAAACAGTGGACAGTTTTTTTTATGGGTGAAAATGGTACGGTAACGATAACTCCGCCTGCATTAATGGGATACGCTGGTGGAGCACCAGTGAAGGGTGATCGATGAGAATGAAAACAGGCCCGTTAGCCCATCATGATAAATTCATCAGGAATTAACCATGATAGTTTCCAGGGGGAACCGCGAGGAGGTCGAACTGGTTGGGTTTATTGCTACCAATGGGATTCTCAGTCTCCATTACTAACAATCCCTTCCCCCCCCCAACAGTGGACAGTTAACGGCTGATATGATGATGATGACATAATATTTTAATGTAATAACTACCGGTTTAACTTACGTATAATTAGACCGAGGAAGCTGAACCTTAGAATATATCTATTGTGATGCGATACCATTCCTATGGACTTGGTTATTAAGCCACCGTTCCCTATAATGACACTGCCTCATCCCAACTTTCAAACCGAAATATAGACGTGCAAGTACAATTGCTTCATTTCGATTTGAAGAGGTACCAGATGTATTCCTCGATCCCACCTGTTTCTGCAGACGACTTTTGTACAAAGTCGCTATCTAGTAATAGAATATTCTAAGGTATTCACAACTCTCAAGGTGGACCATTAGCTTATTTGCTATTCTGAGTATTGGAATCGGAATTTTTATTATAATAAAAAAGAATTAAACAGTCTCCTCTTTCAATTGCCAACAGAAGACAATGCGGGTGACATAAGGCTACGCGGGCGATGCGCCGCGAGGGCGGCCGCGCGCAGCGCCGGGCGGCGCGCGTAATATGCGCTCGCTGAATGTGTCGGCGTGCGCGGCGCTGCTGGAGGACGTGCGCTGGGACGAGCCTGCCAGCCTCGCGAGCCTAGCCGTGCTCGCGCTCATCGACGTGCTGGTCATCGCAGGTGAGCAGCTGACCTTCCGGGAGTGACGTGATGAAGTCGCACCTCAGCTCCATTAAAAGTTACGATAATCCCTTTGGTTTCCCGTCGAAGCTCTCTATTTCGCTTCTTATCACTAAGAAACTCTTCATCGTTCACGTCTGCATATCGTATTATATATAATCATAGTTCAGGTCTGCAATCTCTTAAAGCAATGAAAAATCAAACGTCTAAATTAACCCAATCAGAAATACAGCCATATAATATAATGTTCCATTCATATCGCATTTTTTGGCATTCACAAAGGAAATTAAAACCTATAGGGCGCTTCGCGTTGATGATACCAGGTATCATGAAATTTGGCAAGAAGCAATGTCATGTAGCACAAGTAAAGGAAAACATCCGAAAAACACAAAATTGTAGTTATTTCACAAAAAAAAAATTACTTGACAATTTTGTTCGGAACCCTCGCTGCGCGAGTCCGACTCGCACTTGACCGCCTTTTTTTCATAAACGAGCATGCGACTCACCTGACGGCAAGTGGTTACCGCCGCCCATATTTCTACCTACGTACATTCTACTTACTGGTAATCGTTTTTCTCCGACTGTCCCATAAAGAACATGAAGGTAGATAAACTATCTAATAGTAATAACAGATAGTCATAATGGATAGGTCAATGGGCACCGCGAGCAGCCTGAGTAAATGGGTTATTAACTTTTCAATCACGTACTCAAACGATCCGTTACTACTCGTACGTAGCACGTGCTACATCGCTGCGAGCTGAGTTATTTTTTGTTTTTGTAACAAAATGCGCCGCTGAGAACTTGTACAAGCCTTCGTTGTATTATTACTTCGATTCTTAAAGTGGTTTGGTCCTTAAACAAAAATAAACACGACATACTAGATGGCGTTAGAATCGATATTTGTAGTTTTTATTGATTATTATGTAATTGAAGATAGTTTGAAGCAAAATTTCTAAATCTGCGGACGGTTATATTAATATTTTATCTATATAGTAACAATTTATCATCTTTCTTATTTTTATTCTCTTGTGTTGTACATTTAAAAAATATGTACACACTAGGATCGAATATTGCTAGTGTGTGGGTCATTATTCATTCGAGAATAGGTCGCGTATTACCTGTCATTTCATTTTTATTTCAATATTTGTCTGACTAGCAATAGAATAGACTAGAAATATTCTTTATTTATATAGATTTTTTTTTATATGATTTAGAATGGCAAACAATCTGACGGCCCACCTGATGGAAAGTGGTAACCGTCGCCTATAGACATGAGCAATACCATGGACACAACATAGTATACTGTTTCGCTAATGATATCCCCCATGCGTTGCCATTCAGATGTTATTCCTCTGTACCCAGTAAATTTATGCCATATCCCACCCTTCAAACCGAAACACAGCCATACAAACACAACTGCTTTACGGTTGAAACACAAATGGGACAGAGGTACCCAAGCAATCGACTTTTGTACAAAGTCTCCCTCTGGTATCTCCTCTTGTTTGTTTACAAACTCTTATAAATTGTTTTTTTTTTTTATGATTCCACTGCTAGATTCGAAATTTTCTTACATGCAGAACTCGCAAGAAACTCGAAAATGAAATCCTTTTTACTTGTAACATTTTAAAGGTAAAAACTAATTCATGTATTCGTTAAGCCTTGGAGTCTTAGTGACTCAATTAATTGTTTTAAAAATTGGCAAACACGTGATACTTGGGATGAAGAAAGATACAGGCTACTTGTCAATATCTTGGTGAACCAACGTTATTATTATCATCCCGGTTCTTTGAGCAAAGTCACGGGTAAAAACTTCTTCTTCGGGTTCTTCAAAAGGGGGGTAAAGAGGTTTCTTTAGGATCGGCAACGCACGCGTAATCCCTCTGGTATTGCAGGTGTTCATAGGCTACGGTAACCACTTACCATATTTTGTATGCTTATAAAAAAAAAGTTTTACAAACAAGTGAGGTGGTATAAAAAAAAATTTATTATTATTCATATATATTATGTTATTGTACTGAATATTTTCTGGGTGAGCGTATTGGACGAATGTAAAGCTCAATCAGTAGATGTAATGTAATAAATAAATATGTAAAACCATTTGAGAGATGTAGAGTTTTTCTACAAATTTGTGATTCCAATTTTCACCGTCTCCGCTGTATTAACGAAATAACGTCCCTACGAGATATAGCGCCAACTAATCAACTAATGGAGACTTGGACCCTTACAACGTGAATACGACCAGAGAAAGCTAATTTTGAAGTCTCATTATGTGTATTCAAATGGTAAATGGCCTTCACTATCTATTTAGAGCTTTAGTAAGCAATGGAATAATTAACTTTTTTATATAACTTAGAATGGCAAACAAGCTAACGGCCCACCTGATGGAAAACAGTAATCATCGCCTATAGACATGAGCAGTACCGTGGACTTAACAGATCTCTGTTACGCCCATTGAAACTACCCATGTGATATTCTTGAGGACTCAGGTATCCGCAATCTGTATGTAAATTCACTGCCATATCCCACCTTCAAACCGAAACACAGCCATGCCAACACAACTGCTTTACGGTTGAAACACGAATGAGACAGAGGTACCCAAGCAAACGACTTTTGTACAAAGGTGTGGTTTTATTTATACAAACGAAAATTATGATTCTAAAGCAAGGTAGGCAAGTTAGAGAGGGTGTATGCAAGTATATAGAATGGCTAAGATAATGAAGGTTTTCCCAAGAGCGAAGCAAAAGGGATGTCAAACAAACTAGAGGGGACTTTGTAAAAAGTCGATTGCTTGGATCAGCTCTGTCCATTCGTGTTTCAACCGTGAAGCAGTTGTATTTGCATGGCTGTGTTTCGGTTTGAAGGGTGGGATATGGCGTGAATTTACTTACCATCAGAGGAATAACACTTGAGTCCTCAGTTTGGCAACGCATGGGGTATCAAAAAAAGTATGAGTATTTATGTCCACGGTATATATTATGTTATTGGCGACGGAATTTTCCATCAGGTGGGCGTATTGGTCAACTTGTAAAGCCAATCTAGATGTATAAAAAAAATAACATCATGTAAAAATGTCTGAGAGAAATAGCAACTTTCTTCTTTTATGACGTGACAAAAATCTCTTTTTTCAGATTCAAACGTGTGTTGTCATATTATTTATAAACTCCATTATATATTATATGTTGGGAAAGAAACTATATTATATAAAACTCGAACGTAGAATGCCGGATAAAACGGATGTGGGCAGTTATAGATTGCATGCATTATCTGATGATATATCCTTTGATGTGGGTACTTCGAGGTTTCGTACGCTAGTGGAGCCGATGTTTATCATTACTGATTGTAAAGTGTATTATATTTTACTAGCTTTTACACGCGACTTCGTTCGCATTGACCGGTATTAATAGTAGCCTATTTACTTGTCCATCGTATGTAGTACCTACGTGTATACTTAAGATTAAGCAGTCAGGACCCTTAGACATAACAATTAAAGAAACAAAATCACTTTAATATTTATGTTATAAATTATATTTTATTAATGTATTAATTGTTTTTTTTATTAAAGAAAAACCAACTCTTTTCTCCTACATTCTTCACGACTCTGGAACGCGCTTCCTGATGCCATTAAGAGACTACCGACTAAACCGTCTTTCAAAAAAAGCGTTCACGCTCACTTTTTATCTTTATCCGAGCAGTAACAGCTTTATATTATTCCAAATTCGTGTATAATATAGTATATATCATATATGTGTAAGTATATTTGTTATTCATATATATTTATTCGTTTATATATGTAGTTTTAGTATGTATGTATATCAATAATTAGTAGTACCGCAGTCGAGTATTCTGACACTTGCCTATGGTTGACTGGGAGAGAATGATTTTAGCATTAAATCCGCCATGTACACATATTTGTACTAATGAATAAATAAATAAAAAAAAAATACTCTATCAACACATGACTTCGAACACAACACCATCAAGATCCTGCGGACACCTGTGCTATGTCAATCATATAAAGGGATCTGAGGCGTTACAGACGGTAAAAGAATTGTGCTTACAATGTAATGCTTCATGGTAAAACCTTTTAGAGAGCACAAAGGGTATATGTAAGCACATAATAGGTACGTGCGTCGGTATGAATTCAGTATAGAGCCACGTTATCTATCTTATCTTAAGTAACATTATAAAAAGAAAATATATTTTGTTCATAATATATTTTTTAGTTTTCTAGTGACTTTTTTTATAAAACAGTGTCGCCTATAGACATGAGCAGTACCATGGACATAACAGAATATACTGTTTCGCCCATGATACCATCCATGTGTTGCATTTCTGAGGACTCAGGTATTATTCCTCTGTACCCAGTAAATTCACGCCATATCCCACCCTTCAAACTGAAACACAGCCATGCAAACACAACAGACGAAACAAACGAATTTTGTACAAAGTACACTACACTTTTTTTAAGTCTGTTAAAACACCGTTCGCTAACTAGGGTACTTGCTGCGTCTTACTAATATACTTTTGTTTTATTTTTATACAAATTAATGGCAAACAAACTGACGGCCCATCTAATGAAAAGTGGTACCTGCCTATAGATATGAGCAGTGCTATGGACATAACAGAGTATACTGCTTCGCCCATGATACCCCCCATGCGTTGCCATTCCTGAGGACTCATTTAGTTTATTACTTTAAACATATACCTAACCTGGCCGATCGACATTCAGCAGTGACGAGCCGGTGGTTCAGCCAAAAAAAGATTTTTTATTCAATTAAACGCTTTACGATTTCATATTTCTTTGGAACTTTTTCCCCCCTGCTCCGGTGCCGCGCCGCGTCTTTGTGCGTCTGTGACGTGCTTGATTATTTATTCAGAAGTTTTTCAATATTTCCCGCGGCGTGTCGCGGACAGCCGGTGTCATTTTATAGAACGCCCTGATTGTTCCTGAATCGCGTTTCTCCTAATAATATTTAAAAAACATTGAAAGTTTTTATTAC